AATGGCTAAGAGCAGGAAAGTTGAAGAAAGAGACAGAAACAGCAGAGGGGCTAATTCTGGCTGCACAAGACCAAGCTTTAAGAACAAATGCATATAAAGCCAGAATTGAGAAGACAGCAACAGACAAATGCTGTCTCTGCAAAGAAGCTGAAGAAACAGCAGACTACCTAGTTAGCTGCTGCAAGAAGATCGCATAGACTGACTACAAACAATGCCATGACAAAGTAGCAACAATGGTACATTGGAATATCTGCAATAAATACCATTTGCCTGCAAGCGAGAACAGGTGAGACCATAAAACAGACAAATAAGAGAAAATGAAGACGCTAAAGTGCTCTGGGACTTTAGAATTTAGACAAGCACCTGCCACACAATACTGCAGACTTAACAATTCTTGATAAGAAAGACAAAAATGTCTGGATAGTGGACACTGCAATACAGCAGAACAGAAGAGAAAGAACTGGAGAAAATTACAAAATATAAAGACCTGTAAATAGAAGTAGAATGACTATGGCAAAGATAGTACCAATAATTATATACACCTTAGGTGCAATCCCAAAACATCTGGAGCAGCACTTGAACACCATCAGCATTGAGAAAATCACCAGCAGTCAATTGCAAAAGGCAACTTTGTATGAAACCGCTTATATCCTGTGACAATACCTTTAATGCCATCAAACAACATTTGCCTATCCTAGGTCCTTGGGAAGGACTCAATAGGTGGATAAAAATGCCAAATCCAGTCTAAACATCTGGCTGACTGTGCAACGAACAATAATTATTAAACTTGTATGCCTCCCAACTGTCAATGACTCATCACTTGGAACAACCTTCTCCAATCTGTTGCTTTCTAACTGTATTTCCTATAATCGTCAGTCACACCTAGAAACTGGATTGTTGAAAATATCAGGAGAATTGACAGATGATATCTTTCATTTAAAGAAATTACTTGCAAAATATAGCAATGCTTGGAAAAACTAATGATAATTGAAAAAGAGATGAATGGAAGACAAGATGGCTATTGGTGAGGATACAAATAGAAGCTTAGAAGAACTTAAAAAAACAGTCACTGGCAGACAATCCTGGTGAAATGATATGAGAGTTGGAAGTGAATTAACAACTGACCAACTAATTTCCTGAACATATTTCACTATTTGATTATCAGAAGATTATTTACATGTGTTAAATATTCATAAAAAATATTTAGTGTTTCTTTTGTATCTTTCAGGTAACATGGGTATGTATACAATAAGCATCACAATAACTGGCAGCAGCAGAGATCTTGGTGAGCCATTCTAAACTGTAGATTCAATCTGAAAGTTTCTGAATTGTCTTTCTGATTCACTTTATTTAAAAAGTTCAGCAACACTACCACAACACTACAAATGTATTGGAAATATATAAGCATTTGAATAATATTTGCACTAGATAAATATATATAGATGGGTAACTACTGTATAATGGTATATTACAGGTTTTTTTTGTTCTTATATTTTTGTCACTTTTTTGTAATACCACCGTTTAATGTTTTCTTTCTTCTTATGTATTATCATTGGGTTTTTTCCTTTTGGTTATTAATTAAAAAGCAATACAAAATGTATATAAAAAAGGTTCAGCGCCATTACTATGATGAAAGATCTATTTAATAAATAGAATATATACAATAGTTCCTCTTTCTTTAAGAATATAAATGTAAGGAAAGCTGTCCAGCCAGAAAAGTTGGAGATTTCTTACCTATAAGACAAAAAGATCCCATCAGAATCCAAAGTAAGCTGTACTCTTCCATTTTCATTTGACACATCTGAGAAGATAGACGTAAGAGTTTTCAGCATGTTAATTGCAAGATGCATAAATATGAATGCACAGAAATATTAGGCTTCTGGCTGATGGTATTGTGCCATCGGAGAATATGCACAATCACACAGCCTGGGAAAATTTATAACATACAAACCTGTAATTCCTATGTGATGCAAAAAGATTGTTTAATAGGTACTACACAACAAATAGCTTTCTGGTGCTTCTGCAGATTTCTGGATTGAACCATGACATTTGAAAAGGTTTATTTTTGAACTTCAATAAATGACCACAGTTACACAGTACTCATACTAGAAAAGCAATCACATTATGATACTAGAAGAGTAAAACTGCATGGAAAAAGTGGTCATGTTAATAGCTCAATCAAGAGCTCTGATAAATCACATTTTATAAATTTTTCCCCTCCCTATAAATTCTAATGAAAATTAAGATTAAAATGTTAAAATACAAACAGTGCAATTTAGACTACAGATTGAGTGTTGTAGGACATTTCTTCTGAAAGACAGTAAAAACTTGATTTCATGAACCTCCATGTAACTGTTTCAAACTCAGCAGATTAAATTTCACAAGTTTGTTAATTCAAGGTTTCTGGAAAGGCACTTGGAAGATCGGGATGGGTGGGCCAGGGGAAGGTAAGTAGCAGCAGCAGTAGCACAAACACTGGTGGGAAGACACTGGGAAATCTGTTAAGTTACTCTGATCCTATCTTCTGAGGTGTTAGCAATCCTCCTCCCCCAGACTATGTTGTCTCCAAATTTGATGAATGTTCCCTTTATCCCTCATCCAAGGTATTTATAAAAATGTTGAAGAGCATTAGTCCCAGGACAAAGCCCTAAGGTATCCCACTAAATGGTACGCTAAATCCACAGCATTTCCTCAGTCTACTAATCTAGTCACGTTGTCAAAAAAGCAGTAAGATTTGTCTGGCAATACCTATCTTTAACAAACCCATGTTGGCTTCTGGTAATCACCATGTTTCTTTCTATGTGCTTTCAAACTCACTGCTTGATTATCTTTTCTAGGATTTTCCACGTATTGATGTCAACTGATTGATCTATAGGTTCTTCTATCCACTTTTTCCTCTTTTTTAAAGATTGGAACAATGTTAATTCTTCTCCAAACCTCTGGCACTTCCTCCATTCTCCACAAGTTCTCAAAGATTATGATCAGTGATTTTGAGATCACATCATTAGTTCCTTTAGCATCCTGACATGTCATCTATGCAGCCCTGGAAATCTGTGTTTATCCAAAACAGCTAGGTGTTCTCTCTTGCCTATTTTGACCTGCATTTCTGCCTCCAGTGGTGCTGCTTCTGACAAGTTGGGCCACTTTTTCCTTTTGTGAAAAGGTGAAAAATAGGAATTAAGAAATTCAGCCTTTTCCATGTTATGACACTCTCTTGCCATCTTCTCCAACCAGCAGTCCGACTGTTTCTTTCATTTTCATGCTGTTCCACACGTACCCAAATAACCCCTTTTTTGTTATTTTTAGCAATCATTACAAACTTCAGGTCATTCTGAACCTTAGCCTTCCTGACCCTATTCTTATAGATTTAGGCTATTTCCTGATATTCTGCTTTTGTTATATGCTCCTTTCTCCATTTTTAAACTTGTTTTATCAGTTTATCACAGGTTCTTTATGCATCCATGCCATCTTCATCAGCTGTCTGCCATTTTTTCCCCTCTTTGGTAATGTTTGTGTTATCTCATTTTTCAGAATTTCCTAACCCTCCTGAACTATTTCTTCCTTCAGGATTTCCATCTCTAAAATCCTTCCTACTTTTCCCCTTAGCTTATTGGAGTCTACTATCTTGAAATCTAGAACATGAATCTGACTACCTTCAGTTCTCCCTGCCTGCAACATCACCCTCTACCAAGGTTCCTACAATTTTCACTTCTTCCTTGTTAGTATTATGCCCAATGTAGCTGATCCCCTAGTTCCCGCTCCACCTTTTGGATGAAATTTTCTGCAAGGGACATGAAGAACCTGCTGCATTTCCTACTTGCTGCAGAGTTGGATTCTGTTGATAAGGAGTAATTGAAATTCCCCATTATCACAGGGATGTGTTTTTTCGACGCCTTGGCCATCAGATTTGCAAAGATTTCACTTATATCTTTACAGTACTATTTTCTAATCATGAATTCCTTCTCACCAGGTTTCAGTAGTGCTATGTCATATTTAATCCCCACCCCCATACCAATACTTCAAGTTCTCCCTATTTGCCTAGTACTATCTTAGGTTTGCCTGACACATCTCCTGATGCATTCCTGAACACCCCTTCCTCCTTACCATATCCTTCTATGTTGTAAGGTTTACTGCCTTTGGGCTTAAGCTTTGAATGTACTGGCCTCCCTCTCATTCCAGATTTAGTTTAAAGCCTGCCAGATGATCTAAGAAATGTGTCTTCCAATCGCATTCTTCCCAGTCTTTGTAATGTGCAGGGCTCACCAAAAGCTCTTCCTACAGTTTTCTCAACAATGCCATTCCTTGAGCTATCCATTCACAACCAAAATCCTCTCCTCCTTCTTCAGGCCATGATCTTCCGTTATGTATGTATGAAAAACCACCTGTGCTCCAAACTCTTTTGCCTTCCTGTCTAGCTCCTTGTAGTCTCTTTTTTCCCAACATTTTTCTGGCACTGTCATTAGTTCCAATATGAAATGGACATTTATTGGACATTCTGATTAATCAAACATATCTTCCCCCAAATGGTGTCTGTAATTGTGTCCTTTTATTCAGAACAATAGATATATATGCATTGACTTACTGATTAATATTTAGAATACTGGACTTTGATTAAACAAAAGTGAAACACTTTTCTGGTTTGCCAACTCTGGGTGCTAACACTAAGAATTGAGTTTGGGTAGTACCGCATTACAAGGTCTATATATATTCAATTCACATTGCCTTAAATGCCATTTAAATACAGCAAAAATATTTTTTCTCAGTACCATAGGTTCAGAAGATCATCAGTACGTTCATTTTGAAAAAAAAATCCAATCACAATGCCAGTTAATTAGAAGTGCTAGTCATGAAAATTAGCAGATTTAAGGTAGAATGAATATTTGCCCATATTATTCTCTACTTAAATATGGGAACATGTTAATAAAGAGAGGGAGGTAATCAAATGTATTATTTATTTAATGTAGGCAACTTTAAAATATAAATTTGTAGTCCAAAGTGAAAAATTCTCTTTCTCTTTCTCTCTGTATAAATTGTACATAGAGGCTTATTATTATTTAAAGTTACAAAAGAAAAGTTATTTGGTTTTTTATAATCAAAAACATTTTGAATTTCCAATTTCTACTCTTCACAAACCAAAATGAAAAGACAAATAAAATAAACAGAAGAATTTTACACTTTTTAAATAGTTAATGTTTGATAATTATTAATCACCATGGTTTCTGCTCTGAAGAGATTAAATCATACACCAATATGTATATTTTTAAAAGGGCACAATCTGTGATCTTAGAGAAGGAAAAAAAGTGAAAAGGAAAGAAGTTGCTTATATTACAAAGTTGTGAAATGCAATTGCATATTTTTAAAATACCACATACTTTCATTTTAGCATATCTAAAGCTTAATAATTTAATGATTTATTCAGTTTTAATTTATACCTTCAAAACACTCTGAGATGCCACTGGAGATCATAACAGTGGTCCTGGTTAAGTCAAATAATAATTAGAGCTTTCACTTTAAAGATGAGATTATTTTTAATTATTGAGTGAAGTACTTGAGGTACCATACTTATATAATTACACTACTCATTAAATGGTTATTGAAAGCTGAAATGTAATTTTAATGACAGCTACCTATTTTTCTTTGCACACTTTGTAGATGACAGATCAGTCAAGAATACTGGTTTGCTCAAAATTTCTTGCAGCTGCAGTAGAGCTTTCAGGTGTAGAACAATTAAGCTGTGCTTATTTTAAAACTTTTTTTAAAAAAAATGCTCTCTCAATTAAGCGGTATTTTTATAAATGCAGAAATAGCAAGGAAAGTAAATTGGCATCCAAGGAGAATAAGTGGATATTTTTCTTTTCTGTAGTGAAAGCAGACATAGTATACAAATATGGTTGCTAATATATACAGTTCCTGAATTTTAGCCCTTGGAAGAAAACTGCTGGGTGTCAAAAGGTATAGTAATACCATGTAATACTAATTACAGGTGCAAAAAGCTTCCTGCTAAGCCAGAATTTACTGTAATTTATTTTTGTAAAGATTTTTAGGTTCACCACTTAAGAATATTTTCTAATTGATGTGAAGATAAAAATAAAATACAATCAGAACCTCTTTCTTTCTCATTGTGAAAATCAAACAGATTTGTTTCATTAACAATATTAAAAACAATATTTTAAAATTGTCTGTATATGGAAAGGCATTATAATTTAGAGAAAAGAGCAACTGCTTTGTTCCTAGTGGAAATTAATTATACAAATATTTATGAAAACATCTGTTCCATACAATTATATGTTCTTAATTTTAGCACTGATAAGTTCAGGTTCCTTCTATTTGAAGCATGACAGTTAAAGAATTAAAAGCTTTATGGAGAACATACAACTTCAAGTTCTGTATACTACACATGTGAAATTAGTATTTCTGTAAAACAAATCCCACATTACACAATTTTGTAAAAAAGACTGCAGCAAATCAAAACCCACTATTTGATGAAATACAAAAATAGGAGGAAAATGAGATTTTTAAAGTATGAATTTAACTTTTGCTTATTTATATTATGAAATACATTTGATTATTTTGATGATGGTTACCCAGTTGCTAAAGACAGTACACTTGATATTGCTTCTTCACAACAACAGAGGGAGCTACAGAGTTTAAGATCAATAAGAATCGGTGCCATAAGCTTTCCTTTTGGACTTTTTATATAACACCCTTGCAACTACAGTGTTAAATTCAATTTACACCACCCAAGCTTTTAAAATGATTAAACAGAGCAAGCTTGAAGCAGCACACAGAAACCAAATATAA